CATCAATACTTTTCTGATAGCACAGAGTTTATGGCATATATATACTTACTTTAATATCCTGAGTATCATAAGTTCCAAGAAAGCAGTATAAAAATATGCTGTCAAAGTTCTTGAAATATCTGACTATATAACATTTTGAATTTTCCTGTCTATGAATTCCTCTTTCTTACGTTAGTAAAAACTTACTTTTATAGTATCTCATACTATCTCTTCTTACCTTTGGTAAGTAGAAGGATTAAGACTTATATCATGTTCTGGTATGTTGATACATTTGGGGTTTGGGTCTAATGATGCCATTACCTAGCTGGGAACGTTGGAAAGGATCATTTCTTTGGATCTGTTTCTTTATCTGTAAACTACTATTTAAAGTTTCTTATAGCTGTAAAACTCCACAACTTGTTAATTTTGCATGGCCTCTGCTCATGAACCCTATTTGCAGTGTTTATATAACCCTTAAGAACCCATTGTTAGGATCTAATTTCTCAATGAGATCACATATTGAGATCTAATGGTCTATATAGCATGCATTTGGCATTTAGGCACACACATGCACTTAATATATACACTTTACGTATACTGAATCCTCAAAAGACTATACGATGTGTTATTCTCATTTTTCAGATAAAGACTATACGATGTGTTATTATCCTCATTTTTCAGATAAAGACTATATGATGTATTATTATCCTCATTTTTCAGATAAAGAAATTTTAGAAATCTCTAAAAATTAATTAATCATTCAAATTCTCATTTTTCAGATAAAGAAATTGATTAATTATTTTTTAGAGATTTCTAAAATTATGTCAAAGCCTGAATTTAATCTTTATACTACCTATCTCCAAAGCTCACATACTTTCCACCATAGTATATTTTCTCTTAACGTAAAAGTTTCAGATTAGGAAGAAAAAGGATACCAAACTGGTCTGTTATTGAAGCAATGGTAGAGATTGAATTTTTCCTTATGTAAGTTTTAAAAAAACCCTCTGTTTAAAGTATGTAACTGGCTAGGCCTATTTTATTGCCCTGTTCTGTTCACATTCATTCAAATACCCAATTGAGCAACGTGAGTCCTGTTTTCATTAGGTGAAAACGTACCCTGGATATCTTTTAATCCGGCCCTGTCATCTCACAGTTAAGGATTCTGAACAAAAACTTAAATGCCTGAAGTAGAACAAAAAAAATAATAGTTGGTATTAGAATCCTGGCTTCTTAACTCGGGCTCATTTGCTGTTATCAAAATTTTTCATATTATCTGTTTGTATTTGTTTTTTCTTTATGCATAAATTTTTGCTCTCCCTTAACCAGGCATCTTTTCTGGGTAGATTTGTTTTATACTGTTACTTTCTAATAGCCATACATGTTGAAATCCTCTGAGGTGCTGCCTCCCATTTATGTCTCCTAAAGCTTTCTCTTTAATAAGTTAATTTATCCCATAGTCTTTCATCACATATTTATTTGACACCTGCTGTGGATAGACTGTAAGGTATTGGTAATTTATAGCAAAAAATTTAGCAATTTGTGGGAGTTGATAAGGAAATAGAAGGAATCCCTGCCTGTTGACAGCTTACAGTCTGGCAAGTTAAACTTCTGATTTTCAGATGTTTCTGTACTTAGGATTTTTCAGTCAATTTCTACTGACAAGACAGCCAAGTCCAGTACTACCTCAGTCAATTTTTTCTACATGTATAAAACTCTTATTCATTATTTAACTGCTTCTAGAATATCTGTAACTCTTATTGATGGGCCCTGAAATACACCTTTTAATTTGCTTGAGTAAATTTATATATATTTCTGTATAAAATTTGAGTTTTATCCACAAGTTTCTAATACCATGAATTTTGAAGCCAGCCGATGAGAAATATTGCTCTAATATGGTTTTATGGCTACTTTTTTTCACAAGTAATGCTATGTAAAAAAAATCCACGAGTAATGGACTTTATTGGGAAGAGTCCTTTTCATTCTCTGATAGTGTCCAAATTCTAAGCCTAAATATATTTTAATCAGGTAACAAATGGTATTCCACTACCCTTAAATAAACTTATGAAAGGAAACAAATCCTCCGGTAAAAAAAAAAAAAAAAA